ATGTTTTGACCAAAGCGTTGAATATAGCCTTCATATGCTAAGGTGTTGCCTTGTTCTTGAAGCAAGCATGGTGGTTAGCAGCTTTTAGCAGCGCCTAAGCTAGAATTGTAAGCAGGAATTAAGGAAAGGTAACTTCAAAAGCAAAAGCAACGCATGAGCCCAACACACTTTTGTACAAGGGTTTGCTTTTCCAAGATAATAAAGGTACTTCTATGCCACACATGGAGAAATCCTTTGGACAGATACTTAGAAGTGGTTGTGAGCATTAAATGATGATGATATTGATCAAACCAGAAATCCTGTAACGTGAGATTCTACATCATTGCTTAATTCTAGATCAGAGGTTCAGTTTCAACATAATTCAGAATGAACAACCAACTTCTGATCTTTGTATCTCCTTGCTCCAGCATGTTCTGAAGGAGTTCTCAGACTTTCCAAGAAGCTTACAGCATGCTTTGTAACCTTCTTTGAATTACCCTTGCAAACTCTGACTAAACCTTTGTGAAAACTGGCCCAGAAGTTCTGACCAAACTCTATCTTGAAAGTGTCCAGAATATGTTGAATGCTTTAGTTTCATGGACGTGTCTTTGAACATTTATAACTTGAAATTCCAGCATTTCCAGGAGAATTTTGTTCTTTAGTGTTTTAGATCTTATTGAAATCTAAAACTCTTGAGTTAGAAATTATTCTGAATCAGCTTGCATCATGGTGATAATCTGATCAGAAGTTCTGAGCTTGTCATATTTCTTAAACACTTAGAAAAATTCTAAGTATTTAGAATTTTGACTTTTGAATTTCTTGATGAAACAAACTTCATATTTCAACGTGTCTTGATGAAATATGATTCTTGAAGCTTGAGTTTGATCCAAAAGTCAAAGTTTGACTTTTTAGTATGCAAATGACCATTTTGCCCTTGTGAATGACTTTCTTGGAAAATTTATAATTCAAGGCTTGAAATTGGATGGAAGCAAACCAGAGGGTCCAGGTTGATCCTTTGAGAAATGAGAGGACAAATTTTGGGGTACAACAGACCTCAAAGGGACCTACAACACGTAACCACACAGTAGCATTGGGCTTGCTTGTTTTGGGCCAAACAAATTCCTAAGGCACACCCCCATTCTACTTCATACATCAGGCCCAATCATTTTCTTTTCTTTAATTATTTTATCTATTTAATTATTTTATGTTTTTTTAAACGAATTTTATTTTAATCAGAAAATCAGAAAATCACAAAAAATAATAGACTTAGGATTTTCTAATTAAATTTAATTTTTGGTAAATAAATTAATTTAGTTATTTTGAACTTATTTTATTAATTAAAATAAATTAGAATTAGGTTAAAATTTAAAATCTTTTTCTCAATAAATACCAAAAATATTTTATTAAACAATTAGATTTTTTTATGGTTTCAAACTTTTTCCCTTTTCAATCTTTGCGCGTTTATTATTTTCCGTATTATTATTTTTTCAGTTATTGTAACTGCTAACGATTTGTAATAGTTTTAAACTAGTGTTTATTTACTGTCTTTATCCCCAAGTTTTTATGGTTTGTACCCCCTTCCCCAAATGATTTAATAACGTAGGACGTTTCTTTCTGCTTTATTGTTTTATTATTACTGTTAATGCTTAGATTAATAGGATTGTATGTCAAGACATAAAAGAAATCAATAGCTAACCCTAATTGCAAGATAAATGAATTGAATCAAGCATACTTTGCGCACTTCACCTCTAGGGTAAACTCTCTCATTATCTCGGAAAAACAATGGTCATGTCTCTCGAACATAGGGATACCATTAGAAAAAACACTCAATTACAAATCATCATAAAGATCATAGTCCCTCGATGTCCATCGAAGTTGCCTATGATATATGATCTTATCCCTCGTCGTTACCTATGAATATATGACGACTTCCCTTCAAATAGCTAAAGGTATCCCTACATGTTGCCTTCAATGACCATAACGACGACCCTACGCCTGTCCCTCGAACATCCAAAGATAGGGATTCCTGCTAACAAATGGTATGGATAACACTATCTAAAGGAGGAGCAAAAATACAAGAAATACCTTGAGTGGGTAGTTACTGTTAATTGCTTGCTCACAACTTAAAACACTTTTTCACACCTCATACTTTCAAAATCATTTTCAAAACGCTTTATCAACACTCTTGAGGACTGATACAAGAGTTATTATAAATCAAATTGACTTGTTATTTGGCATTTAAAACTTTTTCAAAAGCACACACACAAAACAAATAAAGTGAGCAAGCGATTAAGAGCTCGTAGATAACTACGGATGAAAAGGGTGCTAACACCTTTCCTTTTCATAACTTACCATCTGAACTTGAAATCTATCAAAGATCTTTGCTGTTGTTTTCACCTTTCCTTATTGGATAAAAAAAAATTTGGTGGAGACTCTTGCTATCAGCAACATTTACGATAAAATGCAAAACAAACAAGTCAGTTCTCCCACCGTATTACAACTATGATTAGGAAAAAATAGTGCAAAGTTAGGAATGCACTGCCTCACACTATCCCCCAATTCTTAAGTCTCGTGTCACATGATTTGTGTCATTATCACTAGGTGTTTTCACAATTTGATTAAATAAAAAGAGGAATTTTAGTTTTAAGAAGTATGCAAAAGAGAAAATAACTAACAAAAAGGGAATATTAATCACAGTTCTATCCCTAATGTTATCATAAAAAGATGGCCTTATAGTTGAGGATAAAAGGGAACTTCTACTTAATGTTAGCATGCATGAATAAAAACCTAAGGTCTAGTTGGTTCGATCTTGATCGAGAAGGAGCCAAAGATCCTATAGGGAGCATGTTATCACACCGTGAACAAACACATCCATAAAATAAATGGGAAATAATAATTTCACATACGAAAAAGCAACGAGAAAGACAAGAGAAGCATGTAAACAAACAATGTCAAGAAAACAAGTAATGCAAGCTAACATAAGCAATATTTCAAAGCGTCAATGTGTAACTTGTTCTATGAATGAACTTTGGACTTGAAATGTGCGGGACCGATTGAAAGCCTCTTTTCCACTTGACTCGATAGCAGGAACAAATGTAAATGGGGAATGGGAATGGAGATTTTATTCTTTGAGAACTTCAATGGAGTTTCCTTTGTCGACGTCTTTAAACAAACACAAACATGTTGCCCCTTTTTGAGGTCTTTTCCTGATCAATCACAAATATTGCCTCCTTTGAAGAATTAAAGCAGTAAACAGATTTCCCACCTAAAGTAGGGACTCTCAGTCATGTATCTCTAGTCCTACTTCTCATGGCAATGAATTGTAAAGACAATGCGAAAAGAAAAAGAGATAAGCGAAAAATAACAAACGAACTAAGAGTCCATAGCAAAGTGTATCAAAGAAAAGAAGCTCGGAAAACTTCGCGCAAGTTAGCATCAACAATGAAAGCAAGTAAGAAATCGATATTCAACGTAAGCATAAAAGCATCATCGATGTGAAAATAAATCACATATGGAGAGTGCATCGGGTAGCACCAAATGAGAAATAATAAACCTGCACAAACACAAGTCTATACAAAACACAAACAATATATACAATCTCATGGATGAGATTCTACGCGCAAATGCTTCAAAGAATGAAATCTGATCCACAAAAAAAGTGGAATAAATGTTTCAATCGAATAATTGACAATTAATTAATCAGTAGAAAGCTCTGTCAAAGTACCTTGCACAAGTCAACAAACGCATTAGAAATAACTAGGAGGTATAATCGGAACTAAGCTTTCGCATCATAATTCAATTTGCAATTAAATCATGAAGAAAATGAATCCAAACATGCATTGGAACGTCAACATCAAATACTGGGCATCATTGCACCAACACAAAAACCTGCTCAAAAAGTCGAAATAAAATTGGTCTAACTTGACACCGATGTCAAACAAATGTATCATTAAGCTCCAAAATTTAACAAGTGATAATTAAATCAAAGCATAAGTGCGAGAACAAAATCCGGACAACATTGAATTTACACATGAAACACACCAAAAATTGACTCAAATTCGACCAAACTTGCTACCAGTATCCATCAAATGTACCAACAAGCTCAAGTATGTAACAAGCAACAAATAAATCACAATTTATGGTGTTTTCCAAATCCGAGATAACAACATATTTATTTCACGAACCGAGCAAAAATCGATTTAAAAACACTAAAACTCGCTATAGGTAGTCACCAAAAGTATTAGAAGACTCAAAAATGAAAAAAGCAACAATTAAATCACAACTTATATGTGAAAATGAATTCCGGACAGCATTGCGTTATCACATGAAGTGCACGAAAAGTTGGTTCAAAAACGGTAAAAATACACACCAGTATCCAACAATTATCATGAATAAACCAAGGAAATACCAATCAAGAATTAAATCAAAGTTCGCGGTATATTTGTGAATTCCAGGCAGCAACACATCATGTGTTGGTATTCACCAAAAATCAATTAGAAAAACCACTGTTTAAGCGCGTAAAAATCAACATCGACACAAGCAATGTCATTTGAAATTCACAAATAAATTGTGGCAATTAAATCAGTACCAGTAGTGCAATTTTCATACAATTAAAACAAAAATTATTTACGTGTCGACATCAACCAAACGCTTCAAGATTTGATTCTGACACATTAAAATCAACAGTTATGCATAGAGTAATCAAACCGGAATCAAACCTCGACGCATCAAATACTTCGTCGTGTAAACCACCATTAATCACCAATTATCGACATTATTCCAAACACCGACACTTAGAATTCACATGATAATCCACAAATAATCAAGATCCAAGCAATTTAGCAATTATCTCGAACAATTCCACATCGATTCATCATCAACAATTCAAGACTCCATTAAATTCAATAATTATCAAATTCAACTCATGAAAACTCAATCAAATTATTAGATCTAGATCTCAACTCAAGGAAATTCAATGTAAAGGCAATATATCTAACAATTATTCAAGGTTTCAATGATAATTACCGAATGAAGCAAAGAGGAGGAGAAGGAAAAAGGTGCAAAATCAAAGAGAAGAAGAAGAGAGAAGTCACGCGGTGACGGAGGGAGGAGCTAGTCGGTTGTTCGCAGAGGCGCGGTGACGGAGGGACTGAGCTGGCTGGTTGCGCAAGCAGAGGGAGGTCGGACGATGATGGTGCATGATCGGAGCTTGGTCTGAGGGAAATCGGAGGAAGATCGAAGGAAGTGACAGGGACAATTTCTTCTTGAGAAAAGTGATTCTTGAGACTTGAGAGAATAGAGAGCTCTTGAGTGTGTTTTGTGAAAAACGAGAGAAAAAAAGTGATTTTTTTTAGTTCAACGAATATATAGACAAACATTTGGGCTTTGTTTGGATCTTGCAAAAATAGCACTAAATCCCTTGTTTTTTTGGTTATTGCAGAATTTTTGGCTTATTTTGTGTATCGCTCGAGAAAAATCAACAAAGTCATTGTTTTCGATGGAGAATCTCGACGCGAACCCTGAAACAAAAATGTAGATGATGAAATTTGTGACGTTGTGCCGAATGAATCGACGTGATACGAAAAAATTAGGCGAGTTATGATTTTTCAAATAGCGAGAAACGTGCAACCAAATTTGCTTGCACTGGATTTTTAGCTTATCTTCATGTACATATGAAGAAACGAGCCATAAACCGAGCCCTTCGGAGTGCAGCTCAAATTTGGGGCCTGAAGTAATGTCGAAGAAAACAAAATTTGTGATCTCGTGCTTTGAGAGTCGTCACAAACCGATAAAAATTGAGGAAGTTATGATTTTTTGAATATCGAGAAAACAGTAGACTGACACTCTTTTTCCACTGTAGGAAACTCAGGTAATTTGCATTTCCGGAGATCATCTTCGAAGAATTGAATCTCGACCTAAGTATATCAAATGTAGAGGATCTCAAGACGAAATTTATGCCCAATGAATGGATCCAAGATGTCGAACCGGAATAAAAGTTATGAATTTTTGAACATTTAGAAAAAAGCGGATTAACACACCGTTTTCACTGTATTTCTTCAGGATATTTGCATATTCTACGACCTTCCTCACAGAATTGGCTTTCGGATTGAACATATGAACTAAAGAGGATGTCGAGATGGATTTAACACACAAAAAGTAGCTCAAAGATAATTTTCCAGTCATAGGATATGAATTTTTGAACACCAACGATCATCGGTTGATCAACAAATGCAAAACTCAGGTATCCACATATTCGGGGATTCTCCTCAAAGAATTATCTCTCAGCTCGAACATATGAAATGTAGAAGTCACCGAGATGGTTCTTATGCCTGAAGAACCATTCCAGAATATTTTTCCGGTCAAAAGTTATGAATTTTGAAGTCACACTGCAATACCCTGATTTTTTGTTCAAACAGTTCTGAATTGACTGAAACACTCGATTTTCTCTGCAATTCAAGACAAGCTAGAAAACATGGGAGCTTGGTATGATTAGAGCTTGATCACTCATAGATATATAGTTTGGAGAATGCTCTGAGCGCGTCAACTGACAACATAAACGTCTTTCGTAACCCGATGAGGCTAATTCAAACTACCTTGATCCCATAACCATATAACCAATGATATGAAATCATGCATATGATAATGAAGTATAAGCGAAATAGGGTAAAAATGATGAGGGTAAATTTTTGCGTACAATAGGGGAGCATGAAAAATCTCATAATAGAGAGGAAGAGGGAGGAGAAGAAGCAATCATAATTTATGCACTTAGATAAGTCACAAAACAAATACTCATTTAGCTAAGTAAGAAAAGATAGGAGAATAGATGATAAAACATTACATAAAGATGACAAGACATATAAAAAGCACAAGGATGACAAAACACCAAGTTTCGAAGAAGATAGAAGGATGGTAAAACAACACACAAGCATAAAGATGACAAAACATCAAAAGATGGTAAAACATCAAACACACACAAGCATAAAGTACCAAAACATCAAGTCTCAAAGAGAAGAGATGGATGATAAAACATCAAGCATATAAATGACAAAATATCAAGTCACAAAGAAAATAGATGAATGATAGAACATCACTAAACACAAAAACAATATGATAAAACATACAAGAGATAGAAATCTCACAATCAAACTTGAAGAAGTGAAGGAGAAGAGTATGAGAGTGATGATAAGAAATCAAAAGAGAATGGAATAAAAGCACATAAAAGTAAGGTGTTAGTTATGGTTCTAAAAATATATATACTTTAGAATACCCTAAGCATTGCAACAAGAGTCAATAGTAAGAGAAAAACACCTAACTAGGCAAGTAGAAGTGCAAGTGTGCATCTAGAAGACAAAACTTTAACCCATAGTAAGGCATTGAGAAAAGAGGAGACAAGAGGTAGATACATAAGTATATACAAATATCAAGACATCCATAAGGGTCATGCATAAGAGTTTTGGTTATAGAAACCAAAATAAAAAGCAATTAGACACATTTAAAAGTTAGTACAAGAATTGGTCAAAACCACACACTAACATGCTCCTAAAGACAAGTGAAGCACAAGAAAGGGATAGATGAGGAGGGAGAATTATGGGAGAGTGATAAAGCACACAGGTCAGTAGCAAATGACTTCTAAGATCACACATTTAAATGTAACAAGTCATGGGAGAAAATAGTACACATAACACACAAGGGAAGTGTTCAAAGGAGACAAACAATCAAGTTCAATTTTAAAGAAGTGGAGATCAAACAAAGAGATCATAATTTAATAATTATGAAATGTGTGACTTGTTTAATAAGTTAACTCAAGATGATTTTCAAGAGTAACAAAGAATAAAGATGAAGTTTCATGTATAAACAAAGTCACATAACTTGATGAACAACATCATTCAAGACGAAATGAACACTGTCTTAGATCAAACATGGTTGATAAAGATCAAGTGAAGATAAGGTGATACTTATAGGTCATAAGGAAGTAGAAAAGTCCCTCATAAAGTATCTATCATTAAATTGAAGCCTCAAGCAATGCCATCAATATAACATGCTTACGTGTCATGATAAGCTAGCAAAAGTATAGTCTCTAAATGCACACAAACATTATGATCACAATAAATCAAAGTTAATTTTCTTAAATGTTATAGGAAAAGACCAACGTCAAGGTAAATTCAAGATACATGGCACAAAAGAACATGAAGCCATCACTAAACAATGATGCTCAAAACACAAGTGAAAAAGAGAATGTTGCTTCTTATGTGTCATCACTATGAATTGACAATGAAATGTCAATCGAAGAATCAAAGAATAAAAGAAGCTATGCATGAAAGAGTTTAATACCTTAGAGGTAAGAATCATGTCATTCAGGATTTGGATCCATGATATTCAAAAGAAAATTCAACAAGACATCTCTTACTCATGATCTCAAAAGAAAGACAAATCAAGCTTCAAAATTAGAAAGAGAAGAAGAAGATATGATTGAGTATTTGAATTGTCCATAAGAGTGGACTAAAATATATTATCATATGAGAGATATTAAGGAATAAGAAAAAATATTGAATCCTTATGTTTGCACAAAGTTCACTCCCTAATCAAAGATACAAGATCTATTCAAACAAAGAAAGATCAAATGCAAAGCAAAGGCATAAAGCACAAGGTAGAGTCAATTGGTTCTAATTATCTTTAGAGAACATTTAATTGAACATATCATCCTCTAATCATGATCATTGGATATAAAATTCCTCAATAACAAACCATATTACCGCAAATGTTTCAAATTAGGGTTTAAAACTTGGTCAATTAGGAGTTCAAAACAAAACAATCATCAATAGCTAAAAAGGATCAAATAAATTGTTCAAAGCTAATGTGATTCTAAATGAAATAAAGGATCACTAAATTTCCAAAACTCAGCCCCAAAATATTTTCATAAGCTAGAAAATGAAAAGCAACAAGCTCAAACAAGTTTCAATAGACACTTTTACCTCAAAACTAGGTTAAAAATAGAAACAAGACTTGTAAATTCAAGCCAATTTAATTCTAAATTCCTTAAGGACTCTAAAAGTTAGAAACAATGGTTAAAGTTCTTGGATCAACATGGAAGAGTGAAAAAGATTTGAAAACATCAAGACTAGTTAGCAAAGTGATCAAACTAGACATGTTTAACAAAATATTTTGTAAAAATATAAGATCCGAATTTAAAATTCAACAAAAAAAATTTCACGATCTTAATTCATCCAAGAACTTCAAACGAAATTTAATTTAAATTCCGAGGCAAGGGAAATTGGAATGGAAAGAAAACATTGCAAGTGATCAACCAAAACCCTATAAATTTGGAAATTAACTTCAAAATTGATTTACCAAAGTTAAAATTAAAATAAATTTGATCTAAGACCATCAAAAATTGAGAAAACTCTAAGTATTATCAAAAGTATTTTTGCGCAATTTTGGATTGGTAAATCAAAAAATTGAAATTAAAATGAAAAGGAAAATAAGAAAATCAAATTAAAAAACACTTTAAACTAATTAATTTAGTTAAATTATTTTTGATTTAAAAAATAAAATAAAATCATGAAAATAAAGTAGACTCACTAGAGATCATTGTCTAATTTTTCCAGAATTTTTAAATCACCAAAACTATTTAAAATAAAATCATGAAGGTGATTGAATAAAAGAGGGAAAAAGAAGAACAAAATTCAAAATAGTATAAAATAAATGGAAATAGCGCACGTGTGGAGTCTAGGTATTTGAATAAGCCAATCAAAATTCATCATCTTCGTTTAAGCAAAACAAATGAAACCCTAACTCTGTGTACATATGAACTTCAGATCCATGTAACTACCTCATTTTTTGCATGAAATTGAATGAAATCCGAAGCAAAGTTGTAGGTCTCATGGAGATCTATCACGTGATATCAAGAATCACATCAAACAAAGCCTAATTCACAGAGAAAATAAATCGAACTTCCATTGATTTCACATTTTCACACAAATTGTAGAACACGATGCAAGCTCAGATTCACACAATTTTATACATCAAACCATTTGTTTGGCCAACTAACAACATCGTGAACATGAATATAACAATTAAAATCAAATGGAAGGATAAATACAAGTGTATGAAAACAAAGCTATGAAGTTTGAGCAATTACCTAGTGAACAACTCCACTGGATTCTTCTGATCGAGCTTAGAGATGAAAGAAACCCGAAAAACCACTTGAGAAAGCTTGTATAAGAAGAATTAGCAATAAATAATCAAGATCTGATGGAGAAAATATGAAACCTAATACTTGCTTCTTGAGAGAATTTGAGAGAAATTGACAGAGAGAGAGAGAGAGAGAGCTTCAGCTTGTTGTGTGGATCGATTGTGTGAAATGAATGAAGAGAAGATC